CAGTTGTGAAAAAACAACGGCAAAAAAGAGAAAAATCAGATCGAGAAAAATCGTAAAACAGAAAACAACGAAATACACATATTTATATGGTTCGGCAAATTGCCTACGTCCACGGAGCTGTAGAGGATTTTATTAGCTTGAGGAATTACACCCGTCGATCACCTCGACGATTACAAGAAAGCACTCTTTCTCTCTACATCTCTCTCCCTCCTCCTCCTCTCCTTCTCTCTCTCTTTACCCAAGAGCTTAAAAGCGAAGCACATCAGAAGAACATGGAAAGCTACCAATGTTGAAGAGAGATAACAAGGGGAGCTAGCATGCCTATTTATTAATTTCGTCATGTCATTAGGCCCATTAAAGAATTAATCAAATAATTAATGAAACACATTAATTATTTCATTTTCTTTTCTACAGCAAATCATAGAAGGAATTAAGAACAATTAATTTCAAGTATCAAATCCAATTTGCTGTCAAACAACAAAAAATGTCAATTTGAGCAGTGGATCAGCTTCCATATTCACAACAAATCTCCCACTTGGAGATTGATACACTGGCTCCATCATCTACTAGCAACGTCGCTCTTTTCTTCAAACATGATATCCTCAAACTCTGCAACTCAAAGCCCCGGTCTTCATGTTAAAAGATCAGCTAAAGTCGAGCACAACTTCAGTTTCTCAAGAGTAACTCCCTTAGTTGACATATCATCTTCAACATAGCTTTGTACCTCCAAGCTCTTTTCTGGGTTATTCATGCTTCTTACAACTTTCAATTCATGAGCAATATCCTGCCTCTACTGAAAGCCCTTTTTCAACAAGTTTAGCATTGTACCTCTTACTGACATCAAGCGTAGTCTTCACCCGGTACACACACTTGTTGTGCAATGTCTTCTTCTCTTGTGGAACTTCTGTCAGCTCCCAAGTCTAATTCCCTGGCAGGGAATCCATGTTTTCTGGATGCTTTCCCAGTAACGAAAGATGAAATTTCTTCCCATAGAGGTAGTCTTTTGTCTGCATTCTCCAGTAACCAAAATTTGTGCCATTAAACTTCTCGATCCCCGATGTCATCACATCATCTCTGGCCATCACTTTCCCTCATATTCAAATTTGAGCTCAGATACCTATTGTTGTGAAACAACGACGACAATAAAGAGAAAAATCAGATCAAGAAAAATCGTAAAACAACAAACAATAAAACACACAAATTTACGTGGTTCGACAAATTGCCTATGTCCATGGAGCTGCAGAGGATTTTATTAGCTTAAGGAATTACACCCATCGATCACCTTAACGATTACAAGAAAGCACTATTTCTCTCTATCTCTTTCTCTCTCCTCTCCTCCTCTCCTTCTCTCGCTCTACCCGAGAGCTTCAAACCGAAGCACATTAGAAGAAGAACCTGAAAAGCTACCAATGTTGAAGAGGGATAACAGAGGGAGCTAGCATGTCTATTTATTAATTTCATCATGTTATTAAGCCCATTAAAGAATTAATTAAATAATTATTGACGTTCAATAATTATTTCTTTTTTCCTTCTGCAACAAATCATAAAAGGAATTAAGAACAATTAATTTAGCAATTAATTTCGAGTATCAAATCTAGTTTGTTGTTAAAAATGAGAAAATGTCAATTTGAGCAGTGGACTGATTTCCATATTTGCATCAGTCTAATTCCCTGTGTAGCATCTGTTATATAAAACTGTTTTGTCGAAGCTGATGTGGATAAGCTGGTTGATTTTTTGTTCATTTTTGTTTGAAAATAGTTGCAGCACAGCTGTTTCTGGACAAATAATCATTCTGTCTCTGTGTAGTAATGTTGTTTGCAAGAGAACTGTCATAGTAATATATTTGATACTTTTGAAGAAAAAATTTACTTCAGAACAATGCAAAATATAAGATATACACTTCACTTAACAGTGAGCATCATTATTACTTAAATAAAGAAAAAGAATATTAAAGTAACATTTGATAATATGATAATATTATTTTTAAAATGAAGACAGCGTATGTCCCGAGCCAAGTCGTCCTCCAAGGATACTATCAATTCCCGATCACTCTCGACGATGAAATATGCCAGCATGTTTGCTCACTAAACGATGTCACACTTCTCTGTGATTCTCCTCGGACACCTGTAAAACTCTCTCCCGTTGTTATGTGGCTGACGTGAGACGTCTTAGAGTTGCAGAGGTTATATATATCTCAAAATATTCTCATACTACTGTAAAATTAAATTCTACTAATTTTCTAGGAGGACTATGTTAACTCTAGTTTAAACAGTTAAATATTAATTTGACAGTTCTATAAATTTTGAGGTTAAAATTCTCTCCTAAATAGACAGACTATACATACATACATACAGATGGCAAGCAAGTAGAAGTTTCGGCGGGAGCATCAATTCAACTCCTTGAAAAAATAAGACAAAAAGGACAATTTGCCAGACAGATTCACTATCCCTGTCCCAACTTCCACAACAATATATGCCTTCTTAAAAAATTTAAAGTAAAAAAACTAAATAAAGTTAAATTAAAGGTACTCAAATAATTCTTCTAAGCCAAAAAGAAGCGAGGCAGATGAAACAACAAAAAATAAAGGTGGCCATGCTTTTCTGACAAAAAGAGAAAAAGAGGAAAAGAGAAATATGCAAAATGCCCCAAAAAGTACGGTTTAATTTCATTACGTTGTACTGGCATAAGCTTTCTGAACATAAAGAATAAAATTGGATGAAAGATGGTATTTGGCTTGTAAATACTAATATTTTGAATGCTCTACATGTTTTCTTATTTTATGTTTCAAAAACGTCTTAAGAAATTGTGAAGCCAAGAAGCAAAATTGCCGCAAAAATTTGAGCCGGCCGTTAGCTTCACTAATTAAGAGTGTCCAGCTCATCTGCAGGCTCAGAATTCAAGAGGTACCAGGTAGGGGTGTAAACGAATCGAACACGAACGAACAGAGCTTGTGTTCGTGTTCGGTTCGTTTGAAATTTGATTTGTTTGAAATAAGTTCGTGTTTGAAATTGTTTGGGAAGTCACTGTTCGAGTTCGTTTCTTAACGAACGAACCGAACACGAGCTGTTCGTGAAAGAAGGGCCAAATAACTTATATTATATAAATATACACTATCTATATTAATATATTAATGATATAGTATATTAATATATTATTATTATTATTTTATTATATATTATAATTTATATAATTTAATTTTTTAAAATGTGATAATTTTTTATATATAATTATTTTAAATTATTTTATATTTCGAACAATAACGATTCGGACACGAACGAACGCACTACTGTTCATGTTTGGTTCATTTAAGTAACCGAACGAAAAAAATTTGTTCACGTTCGTTTCGTTTACTTATCGAACGAATCTAACACGAACTCATTGACTCATTGACGAACCGAACCCGAACATGAACTGTTCGTGAACAACGAGCTTTTTTGACAGCCCTAATACCAGGCCACATTTTTTTTTACCTAAAGCATCCAATTCTACTAATTTATTTTCATTTTATTTTGTACTAAGCATTTTCTATTTATATGATTTATGCTTAAAATTCGTAATTTCGTGTATTTACTTGTTTCATTCTTAAATTCTAATTAATCCTAAATCCTCTTTGCAGCCAAACACCTCCTCTAAAGTGTTTTTATATAAATCTCCATTAATTATATTTAATATAATATATCAACATCACAATCAACAAGTCACTAAAAAAAATTCTTAAACAAGCATCGCACAAGACTTATCAACACGTGTGACATATAAGATAACTACGCCGCATTTAATAGCACAAACTTTTCTGCCCCACTTAATTAATCAAGAAACAGATCTAATTTTGATTAATAAACTGCTTATTATCAGGGCTAGGGCTGTAAACGAGCTCAGGCTTGGCTCGTGTTCAGCTCCTTCAAAATAGCTCATGTTTGAAATCAGCTCGTGTTCGAAATCGGCCCGTGTGTGTTAGTGTTCGGCTCAAAATTGACTCATTAAACTTAAATTGAGAAAAATAGATGTAAAGTAGGCGATTCGAACATGGATCAAATATATACAAAAGAATGCACTAACCACATTGACACATGAGGTGTTATGATTTAAACGTAGACATAAATATATATAATATATTATTATATAAATAATATATGTAATATATTGTTATATAAATAATTATATAAATTTTTTATTTCGAGCTAAAACGAGCCGAACACGAGCGAACGAAGAGCTGTTCGTGTTCGGCTATAATTCGAGCTTTAAGAACTTGTTCGTGTTCGGCTCGTTCGTTAAGTAAACGTTATATAATTTTTTTTTTATTTCGAGCTAAAACAAGCGAACAAGGAGCTGTTCGTGTTCGGCTCGTTTATAATTCGAGCTTTAAAAATTTGTTCGTGTTCGACTCGTTTAGTTAACGAACGAGCTGAACGCGAGCTGTTTGCGAACTACGAGCTTTTTTGATGGCCCTAATCAGGGCAAAGCCAGAGATATCTTTTTAAGGTCGGCAAAATTATTAAATGTTTAATTGTTTAAAATATTAAAAAAAATGTATCAGAGGGAGCAAGGTTATTAAATTGCCTAAATTAGGTAGAAAAATATTAAAATTTATTATTTATATAGAAAAATTCTAATTTCTAAGAAATAATTCCCCAACATAACCTGATTTTGCCTCTGTTCAGTATATTAATATATCAAGGATCAAAATTAAATATATCAAGGATCAAGATTACGAAATTGCTTAAACTACATAAAAAAGTTATCTTTATTATTTATGTAGAAAAAAATTCAAATTTAATAGGCAATTGTCCATCTTGAATTGCTTGATTCTGCCCTGTTCATTATATAACCTTATATATATGATTAGTTGAGACTAATTTACTTAGATCTGTAACTAACACCTATATTTTTCAACGCCAATCAATGAACTAGAGTCAAGCAAACAAGCTGGAACACCAAAACTCCTGATCTCGAACTTTGCAACTACCTAAAATCAATACAGATAACATTTTTTAAAAGCCAGCACTGGAATCTGCAGAAACGACGATTCATATTATATTTCTCACGTACTGTTGCTTCCATGGTAACATTAGACGGTTTATCAGTAAGAATTTATGGTTAACTTTGTTGCTATATAAAGAATACAGATTCAGGCTTCAAGGAACACAGCAACAAGCGAAGAAGAATGGGGAAGCAGAAATCTAAGGAGGCCACAATGGCCTCTCTTGTTTCAGCGATCTTAGTTCTTGTTTCTCTTATGTTGCCTCTTGAGGCTCAGGTTCCCTACTATTACTCTTCTCCACCACCACCTCAATATCATCACAAATCTCCGTCACCGCCACCGCCGGTTTACAAGTATAAATCACCTCCACCAATTGTTTATCATTACAAGTCTCCACCACCTCCACCACCTACTTACAAGTACAAATCTCCACCCCCACCTATTCATATCTCTCCGCCACCGACTGTTTACCATTACAAATCCCCACCACCACCTGTTTACCACTCACCATCACCACCTATTTACAAGTACAAATCTCCTCCACCCCCTGTACATCACTCTTCACCACCGCCAGTTTACCATTACAAATCTCCACCACCACCAGTATATCAATCTCCACCACCATCTAGTTATCATTACAAATCTCCACCACCACCTACTTATCATCACAAACCTCCCCCGTCGCCTGTTCACCACATTCCACCACCGCACATTTATCATTATAATTCTCCACCGCCACCTGCACACCACCACCACCACCACCGAACTCCACCGCCGCCCGTCTATCATTACAAATCTCCACCACCACCTATTCACCACACTTCGCCGCCACCTGTTTATCATTATAATTCTCCACCACCACCAATTTATCATTACAAATCTCCACCACCACCTGTTCACCACCCATCGCCACCACATGTTTATCATTATAAATCTCCACCGCTGCCAATTTATCATTACAACTCTCCTCCACCACCTATTCACCACACTTTGCCACCACCTATTTATCATTACAAATCACCACCGCCTCCAATTTATCATTATAAATCTCCACCGCCTATTTACCACCCTTTGCCGCCACATGCTTATATTTACAGATCTCCACCACCGTCTGTAAAACATCCTCAACCGACTTATATTTACAGATCTCCACCACCGTCTGAAAAACATCCTCAACCGCCATATGTTCACCATTCTAAATCTCCACCACAACCTATTTATCATTACGAATCTCCACCACCATCTACTTACCACCACTCTTCACCCCCACTTAGTAATCATTACAAGTCTCCACAACCACCTATTTACAAATATGAGTCGCCTCCTCCATCTATTTATCTTTACAAATCTCCTCCACCTCCATATCAACCATGAGAAGAGCTACATTAGGAAAAAAAGGCAAGGAGATGATCTTCCCAAGCTATATTTTTTTGTGCTTTATTTGAATTTAATGATCCTTTAACTAATTTTCAGCATGTTGTCATTTTCTTCCTTAGATATTTCTTTTGCAGAGGGTAAAACGTGAAGGTTAAATCCTGTTATGGCTGATTGATGTCTCTCTCTCTCTCTCTACAAAAGAAGAAAATGTCGTCCCTTTCATGATTGTAGCAAATAAAATGCGTGAAACCTCCTAAGCTTATTAGATTCATGAGTTTTATGTTTTGCTTTAATGAAATATTTGAGTTGCCAATATGTATTTGTTCATGTCACCAGCAATGCTATCATGGGGGTTTTCGGTGAAAAAGAATCTTTTCTTTTGTCCAGTTTAAGATAATTTGCGGGCGCGCGAATATATAAATATATTTATCATTCTGCCATTTGCCTTGATAAATAGGCATATGCGCTTGTACCCTATACAAAAAAAAATATTCAATAAGTTTACTAACATGTTTATTCAAAAGTACGATAATAGTAGGGAACATCTCCATCATGAAGATATATTAAACAATATGTATGTATATATATATATATATATATATATATATATATATGGAGAATACGTCCGGAAAATAATAATAAATATAAAAAAATTCTAATAAATATTAAATATACGTAATAATATTGTTGTGAAATTAGGGCGAAGAAAAACACAGGAATCGAAACAAATTTAGAAGAAGAACACAGGGATTTACGAGGTTCGGCAAAGATGCCTACATCATCGGGAGCGAGCGGCAAGTTTCACTATTTCAGAGGGGGAGTTCAATTACATACCCATGAGTTACACATATATATAGACATATAAAAAACCCATAGATAAATTACCAACACGCCCTCGCTCCCCCAACCCACAAAATATGAAGAGACACAACTTCACCAAGAGACACACCGCTTCACTTCAAGAAACACACCTCTTCACTTCAAGAAAC